AACGGAAGTACAGACCCATTGGTGGGAACAGTGATAAGGAACAAAGAAACTGAAGGGACAAAACCAAAGAGGACAACAGACAGGATCAGAAACAGGAGGAGAACAAGACACAGGTGGATGTAATCAGCACGATCAGACAGGCAAGAAGTTAAAACCAAAACAAAACATCCAAGAAAAGAAAAGTAGTACAGGAAGCCAAAAATGCTGAAGCAAAATACACACGACTAAACACAGAAACAAGAAAACTCACACTTAACAAGACTGACTCAAAGAAACACTGGACCACAAAGATGCAACTAAGGGAGGGAGGTACAGCTGAAAACTAGAGGCATGAGCCTAAACAGAAACCAATGCTCAGATAATGCTGCACAAACTCAAACTCAGTGATGAATACACCAAAAGAGGAATCCTGAACTAAAGCCAACACAAAAGTCAAAGCTTTAAACCAACAACACAAAACCTTCACAACACATGTAGCCTAAAAAGTAACAGTTTTATAGAAATGTTTATATATACAGAGATTTATATATACATTTATTTTATAGATATTGTAAAACTCAGTAAATGCCAGCATCTAGAAAACTATTAGCAATAACTGCTTTCCGTCACTCTTAGCTCAATGCGTCCCAAGTTGCTACTGCAAAAGCTCTGGATGCAAATTATGCGGTGTCATAATAAACGGAAAAATTAGTTCCCCCAGAAATAAAAAAAAATCATTTTAAATGTTGTTGCACAACTTGCTGTTGTTTTTGAGAAAGATTTAGTGATGGAAAATCACATATGGTATCCTGTTATAACCGTTATCCATGTGATTTCCACATTTCTTTAAATGCCCCTGAACCCACCAAAGTCTGAACAATGTCTTCCCGTCATCAGTGCAAGATGGCAGCTTCCATTTCTGCCTCATTTTGGTGTCACTTTTGCTCACTGAGAGAAAGTTGTGACATTTTTTCAATTTTCATATAAAGCCGATTTGTTGAAACAGCAGTTCAAATCAATTTCTGAGAAAGAAAAGCAGCAAATCCTAATATGTGCAACAAACAGTATTGACTGATCAGTTATTTCAGCTTTAGGAAGGAAAAGTGAACATCTGCTAAATCAATACGAGATATTCTGTGTTTTACCCAGCGCAAACCTCCAAAGCACACTTGCACGGTTTTATACTGAGGGAAAGTAAATGATCAGTTTTCTGTAGATCCACAGGAGAAAGATTTTTCTGTTTCTCTGACAAGCAGTGAGCGGAGCAGAGGTCGAGGTGCACCCAGTGTGGGTATTCCCATTTTGCTTTTTCACAGGTTCTCTTCTTCTGTAGCTGTTATACAAACACAAACGGTCGCCTACCTGCGTACACTCAGTAAGCAGAATGTGTGGGATACCGAGCTGCCAAACACACAGTCTGCATTCACTGCTGCGAGGAGGATGGAGCGACCACTTCAACTATTTGCAGCCTCAGCCGCTGCCTGATCACCAGCTCACTTTAGAGGAACCAGGGAACCGTGAATACTATCCGTCTTGGCACTTTGATTTAATAGAGCGGAGCTACAAATTGAAGCCTAATTAACATCTGAAATGTAAACTTGATATCTCTCCTCCTGACTCTCTATGTGCTGAAACAAGGCAGGGTTTGGTGCTTATCGCTGCCTCTCTCCAGCTGCATCCGCTCTATATTTTCCTATTTTTCAATTTCCCCCTCACAATTTTTGGTATAAAATTGCTCAAACTACCTATAATTAAATGTACTCGCTTTTTAAGACCCAATTTCCTGAGCAGGAAGTCATTTGAATTAGAATTTAAATGAATCTGACCCCGCTGAGTAAATGCAGTGGCCCCATTTTTCCACTCCCCTGCCTCTTCTGGGCCGGGGATCATTCATGAATCACAAATGACAAATCTGGGTTTATTTCCTGCCATTTTGATCCTGGATTCAAAGGAAGAAGCACATTGTGCTAATGCAAAAGGAACACACACACACATGCGCGCACAGCGAGTCTAAGTGTGATGTTTTTTGCTCTCATCTTGACTCCGTGCTGTTCTGTTTGCCAATTAAATAATGGCCTGGCAGGGATAAAAGCCAGTCACTGTCACAATTACACTCCAGCTGTAACTGTGATCCTATGTCGACTAATATAATCACTGTATCAGTGTTTAGTGTTATTCCTCTTATTTATCAGGTGAAGGCCAGCTGAGCTCTTTTGCCTCACATCTCGAGCTGTGTTGGTGAGACCGCAGCTTTCTGATCCCAGCACCTGAGCAGCTTCTCGGGAACAGCTGAGGTGTCAATGCTGTGATCGGAAGAAGGGCTGTGCACCAAATAAAGGTGTTTTTAAGGGTAAATGTATTGAATCTCATTAACAGGAACAGCAGCATGACTTGAATACCATTACACTCCTTGTTCTTTACCTTACGTTTCATTTTCAGAGTGACATATTTCCGTTGTTGCATATCGGGCATGTCTATGTTTTTTTTTTAGCAGACCTGCAATTAATGATTATTTTTGTGCTCCAGGTTATTTAGAGTTTTGCCTTGAAATTGCTGAAAAAGCATAAAATACTTGTTAATTTGCTTTTATATTCAGACTTTAATAGTTATGACAAAAAAGCAGCAAATCATCAGACTCAACAAGGAAACGTTCAGTATGTTCAACTGACTGGCATCTAAAATTCAGTGCCAAATCACAACAATGATGGCCTCAAGGCACTCTACAATAGTTTTAAACCAGGAAACGTTCAGCCATATTTAATTTAAATGTTTTGTTCGGATATTCATTCACCCCAACCTCCTCCCTACAGGGACTCTGTGGCATTATAGCAGTGTCCCCTGACTTCCTAATTTGTTCCTGTCATGATTACTAAAAATGAAAGAAATGTCAATTTTACACAACTAGGGAGAATTTTTAAACATGACAAATCTTATATATATATTTTTTTCATTTTAAAGCAAAAGCACATTGTTTCACACATCATTTAAATGTCATTTTTGTGTCTAAACATTTGAAGTGGCAACATATTTGTTTTTTCTTTGAATATATTATCAGTCTTTAACTGGATGTTGACAAAAAGATTCTTATTTTCACATCCAGCTCCAAATCACTTGGATCTGAGTTTGTATCCAACTAATAAATTTCCAATTTCCACTCCTGTTTTTTGGTCTGTTTTTGGTCTCCTCCACCTTCGCCCTCTGTTTAGTCTCTTACAACCTGCTGTTTCATAGTGAGCAGAAATCAAAGAGGAAGGTGCACTGCCTCCACAGTTAAATAATGACCTTAAACTCTCCTTAAAGCTCTGTAAGCCAAGGAAAGCTGTAGATTTGGTCAATAATTCATCCCTACTCCACAAGCGACCTCTTTCACACTGCCATTTTATCATAGTTATTTTAAAGATATTCATTATAGCGGCTTTAAATGTTTTTTCTTCTTAAACTTTGAACAGAGGGTGCTGCTTATCACAGGGGGCAGAAGAGCATGAAGTCAGCCACTGAGGCCTTTCAGGGGCTCACAGCTAAGACGATGAACAGATTTGTAACGCTCTGTGCCCTCACAAGGTTACAGCACCTCACTCCAAGTCAGCACCGACCGCCTCCACCGGGGCATGACAGGAAACACGCCGCCGCCGTCTGACAGGGCAGACACTCGAGGTCGTCTGAAAACCTGCACTCAGGACGTGAGGCAGTTTGACATCTCAGAAAGTACCGGGCACAGGGAGGTCGAAGGTTATATGACAGGCAGCTCTGCCATCATCAGGGTTGTCAGGCAGGTCAGGCCTGTTGACAGATGTGACTGCATCTCGACTTTTGGGTCCTCACGCTCTGTCCAACGTGCTGCCCCGGTGTCACATCCTCTTTAAAGGTACAGATCTCCTGCAGCTTCCTTTAATTAGGGTTAGACCAGCTTATTGGCATGCCAATATATCAGGGTGATATATGATGAAGGTTCATCTCCACCTACAGCCTGTGAATGTGTTGTTAATTTATTATTTAAACTCTAAAGCCGGACTGAATAAACAATTCCAGACTGGTGTGGGTGACTTTTATGCAACCGGAAACCTGATTCAGCCTGCCTGCAGGAGCTAAACACCAAAATTAACCGTTGAAGTGCAGCAATTCAGTTTCGTGATTTTTATATAAGGGCTTATTTTACACCAGGTAAAAGTTACAACAGTTTCTTCCAAAGCTCAAAACTGCTGAGATTTAATGAGTTACATTAGTTTTAGACAGAATTTATGTGGAAAGCCTACTTTTTGGGATCCATGCTAACTTTTCTTGACCTTGTGATCCATTGCAAGATGCAGATGCCATTTCTACTGATATAAGTTTTGGTTTGTTCATGAAAAAGATGAAAACTGAAACCATCCACAAATTCAGAAAAACTCATTCTAATCCGAATTGTTCTCATCTATTAGCTGCACATCCGTGTAGTCCTTTGGGTTTTCCTCACAGAAACCTGTTTCACCCTGCTGGAAAATGGACTTGTCATTTCGGCTAAAAGTGAAATTTCTTTGTTTCTTTTTCAACAAAACATAACTAAGTGCTAAAAAGTGAAGTTCATTTCAAACAGATTTAAAACATGAAACCTAAATGATGGTGTCAGATCTTTAGAGCACGTTGATTTGTTTGGTATAAGGTAGAAATCTCCTTCCCCATAAATGCAGAACACATATAAGCTCATAAGCAGCAGCCAGGTCACATGTTGCATTTTTACTTTCCTTCTATCAGATTGTATCATTTGAGGCACCAAGAAGGTCAGTGACGTATTCAGTATCCTAAGAGATCTTTTGGCTTTTGACACACATTTAAACACCCTTTGCAGGGAAACTCTGCAGTGGATCTCATTTACATTGAGAAGCATAGAAAAAGAGAGAGAATAGGTTCCCCTCCCACAGTACACTTGTGTCGTGGCAGTGCTGAGGCCTCTCGGGCGGGCGGCTTCAAACGCACGCAAATGAACACGTTGGAAAAGTTTATGTTGCACTACAGCACCACAGAAGAACCGACTTTCCTCTTACCTTCCAAGCAACACGTCCTCCACAGGCCCGAGTGGGTCATCACCTCCTCGTTCTTCTTGCTGGTCTCGTTCTCGCTCATGGACTTGGTCCTGCAGACGCCGCGGGAGTACAGCCAGTAGTCCGTGCCGACCGCGATGGTCATGAGGCTGAAGGCCGCGAAGGCGCCCACCGTGGTCAGCAGCATCTGGACTCCGCGGTCGAACAGACCCATGTTTCCGCATTCCATGAAAGGGGGACCCCCTTTCCTCTTGATGTATAGGAAGTAAATATTTGAAAATTTGCGGGACCAAATCAAACCGAAAAAACGGGATATACTCGAGCGGAAGGAGAGGGAAGAAGGAGGCGGAGGATGCGGTAGGAACCTTATGGTTGCGTTTGGGTGAGGACCAAAACAAGAGAAAAAACTAACTATGGCAGAGAGAAGGGGGAGAGAGGAAGAGGCGGTGAAGTCTCTCCTCTCTGTTTGTTTTAACTTTCACACCCAAAAAGATGTGTGGAAAAATTAGGTATGCAGAGGATGACAGCACCTCAGCAGGCCTGGAGCTGCAGATGGAGCCCAGCACTGGAGCCACTTGCAGCAAGAAAACAAAAGCTACAAATGTGATTATTAACACAGATCTATGACTGGTTAATTAAAGCCTGGGGTAACTAAGAGGAGCCTAAAAAGACAAGCAAGGCTGATTTTGTACAACCTGTTCGTTGACTTGTAGAGATCACAGCTATAAGCACTGAGCTGAATTTACACGAGCTCAAATGGAGCAAAGAGACGGCTGGGTGGGTGGGGGGTGCGGTGTTGGAGTAATGGCAGGTTTGAAGTACAACAGTTCAATACGTCTGTTACAACAAGTTGCTTTAGTCAAAGGCTATAACATTACGTTTACTAGTAAGTATTCAGAAATAGAGCTATTCTAAAGACTATTGTTGTTATTAATAGTATTATTCTAGTGGCTTTTATTAGTAAAAATAAACTGGGGAAGGAAACGAAGGACAAAATCTAAATCTGTCATATTAGTGGTGACAGCGAAGAGTAAACAAACGGACCGATTCGAGTCCTGTCGAGAGGAAATAAAAGCGATTCCCTGCGTGTTTTATAACAGCCTGTTGTGAGGTTAAAAGCAAATCTGTCTTCTCACAAATCAACCCGGTGGAATGAGGAAATCAAGGCTCAACGACTAAATTAATTCATTAGCCGGCGCAAAGAAACACACACGCTCAAAACCAGATCGAAACCTAACAAAAATAGTAATAAATTAGTTTTAAAAAAAATAAATTAACCGCTTAGATTTTCCTTTTTCCTAAAATTTTGATCCCCAGTTTCCATATGTAGCCCTATAGCTCTGGGAAGGTTTCCGCCGAAAATGGGGGTCTGCGGTCAGAGGAGGTTCGGTGGTCGACGATCCGGAGAGAGCGGGGAGCATCCAGCAAGGCAAGCCGACCATCACTCGACATGGAGCCGGCAGGAGGAGGATGAGGAGTCGGTGTGGGCGCCGCCGCAACCCACGGTGCTTCTTCGGCGGATGGAGGAGGATGGTGGTGCTGCTGCTGCGTGGATATCCAAATTCACCGTGGCAGTATCACACCCAGGACGGTCCCGTTTGTATAGCCCTTGCGCCATGTAATAACAAGAAAAAATAAATTCTGATGAAGGCTGCGATCCCCCTGCTCTCGCCTCCTCCTCCTCCTCTTCTTCTTCTTCTTCTTCTTCTTCTGCTGCTTCTGCCGCTGCTCTCTCTCCTGCGCTCTCGGGTGCAGGTTCGGCCGCTTTTGCAGGAAGGGGGTGAAAAAATGATATTACACAATCAGGGGAGCGACTCGCACAGATCCACGGACAGCGCTGGTGTTGTCACGATGTCAATGTGAGCAGCGCTATACATTCAACACATCCACTCCAGCCGTTTCCCCCCTTTTTCCTCGGACGCTGAGTGATGTCAGTGTAAAGAAGCCGCTCTTGAATCGGAGGGTCACTTTCCTCCTTCCGCTCTGGCGACGCTTTAAAGGCCCACAGTGTCGGCGTGTGTGCGCGCGCTCAGCGCTGCAGCAATGGAGGCCAGTTGCTGGAAAGATATTAAAGATTTTTTAATTCCGTTTCTGTGAGTGGTGGAGGGGACGGAAGGAGGGGGTGTTGCGACGGTGGACTCTCTCTCCCCCCTCGCTTTCTCTCTCTTCTTGAATGGTGGGTTGCATTTGTGCACACATGCTGAAATTTACGCATTTAATGGCTTTATTGTGATGATTATCGCCCGATCCAATCGTTGCAGCTCTCGCACTCTTCTGTGAAGTAGCCACTCTAAATGTCACTTTTCTCGCGTTTTTGTTGTTTTTTGTTTTGTTCTTTGTTACTAAAAGCCTCGATTTTTCAGCTACAGCGCACGGCGTTACAGGCAGACATCCCCGCTCTGATTACGCGATTTTTCTTTAATGATGCTTAGTAGCGAGAGTGAATGAGGCTTGGCTGACATTGAGTGCTTGAAGATATGAACCCAGCGGTACATTCAATTATTATTTTATTATTATTTATTTTTTATAATTACGGGCTCCTGTGTAAGTAATGTCCGGCATTAGCGCAGCGATGTTGTGTGAGTGTTGTGAGAGAGGCTGTGGTGCTGAAAGAACAGCTCCCTGAAGCGCTGATGTTCCTTCGTGGAGTTTGTCGCCCCCTGGTGTTAAAACGTGTGTATTACAATTGATAAAACCTGTGTAACCCAAAGACATCGAACCTCTGAGGTCCCATGAAATTATTTTCTCAGTTAATTAGAGGTGCTCACCTTATTTTCAAAATAACACACTATAAATTAAAGCTCTAAGTTGTTACTTAAAATAAAAGTATACAAGAATCATCATACGTAACTTTAACCTTACTTAATCTTCAAGCTACCAGGTGGATTTATTTCGGACTCCTTAGATTTTCCTTTTTCCTAAAATTTTGATCCCCAGCTTTCATATGTAACCCTATAGCTCTGGGAAGGTTTCCACCGAAAATGAATATTATTTACATGTGACAATATTTCCTACCATGAATTTGTCTTTTTACTTTTCCTATAAAAGCATATAGTATTTTAATGCCCATGTTTCATGTGTCTCGTTGCCCTTGTACTTTCTCTTCAAACCTTTCAGACTTGAATAAAATGCATTTATTTGATCACTTAGTTAATGTGAACATGCTATTTGAAAAAAGGAAAAGAGTTATATGTGATAACACTGTACTTTTTCACATTACTGAAGCAACAGACAGTAATAAAAATGTGCTTCTGTGATTTACAGCTAGTAAGTTAACTGAGTGTGTACTGTCATGAAATAACAAAAAATTAAAAAAGTGAATAAAAATATAAGTCATGTTGAGGTATTATTTCAGTATTTTTAGATTAGAGATTAGCGATTAGAGGATCATCAGGGGGTCCTTTTGTCCTTTTGTCCCTCTGTGGGGGGATACTCCCACTAGGTTTAAATCTGGGACTCCTCATCGCTTCTCGGATGAGAGGTGAAACGTCTTCAAGCAACTTAAAGAAGTCCAGACGCTTATCTTTGCAAGCTCCTTTGACTACGATGACCTGGATGACTGAGAACCTTCACAGACATATTCAGTATTTTTGTTTTATGTCATTTTATATCTTGGCTTCTATATTGTTTTCAAGTTTTGCACGATTACTGACCACTTCAGTCACTTTATGGACCAAGACTATCAGTACAGCTAAATGACTTATGATTATGAAATTAATTAGCTATATAAAATTCTTTAAGCAGGCCACAGAGTTCTGTCAGTATGTTCCTGAAACATATCGTTTAAGACAGTTGATTTTAAGATTGCTAATTTAAGGTCATTTTAGGTCTTTAGGTGGAAGTAGGGGAAAAAAGGCCTTAAAACAATGCTAAACTGGGGGATTTTTTGTATATTCTTTATGTTTTTATTATTGTTCTTGTTAATACATCTTTGTCTGTCTCCCATTTTCACCTAGAGCCAGCTTAAAATCAACAAGACCCCTGGAAGGTTTGAATCTGCTTTAAGTGACAGGGCTAAACCCAGCACCAATTCGCTGCACATATACAGTACAGAAATAATGGGACTTATAGGAATGTATCAAATGTGTAAATGTGAAAATCCAACAGACAAAAAAAAATTTCAAAGAAAAAAAAAGTTTAGCATAGGCTGTCTTCTGTTGTCCCCCCTTAAAAATATAGAAGAAACTGCAGAAAGGCTACTTTTAATTACACATACTGTATGTATCTTTTGGCTTTTGAAAAGCCACACACACAATATTCAAGGAAGAATGTATTTGTAGGTACAGACTCTACATCCGTTACTCAAAAAACAAATAGTTAATTATAAAAAGTTGTCATCAAATATACAAATAAAGACAAAATTCTTGGGAATTTCCCCATTGCATTATTTGCAATAATAATATTTTAAAAACTTTGATATAGGATTGCCCAAGAACGTATCTTTGAAAAAATACAAAGACAGCCTCTGAAATTGCAAAGCCCTGATTTTATATATTGTAAAAAAATTCACGCCCTTCAAAGTACTTACTGTGCTATCTAATCTGCTGACCCATGGGTGCTCCTTTACCCAGACATTCAATCTAATCAGATTTAATTACTGAGGATGGAAACAAACCTTCAAAGTCTGACCACCCTTAAGGCAGCCTCTGTTTTTTTAAATCTTATTTTACCCCAGAGTGCAATTTCCCGAAGGCCGTCCTGGACCCAAAGCTCCAGGGACGCTCTAACAAGCTCCCGATTAGGGCTGGATTTGCAGCTTGCTGAGTTACTGTCAGATTGGCATAAAGAGTGCACATGGGACCAGTGCAAGTGTGGTTCTGAAGGCCTAAATTTGTGAGCCCTCCTCGCCTGCCAAGGATAATTGCTTAATGAAAGTGAACAGCGACCCAAATCCTGGCAAATGAGAGCTCGAGGTCTGTTTGCAGGGAAAAGTGCTGCAGAGATCCTTGAGAGTTTACCGCCCTGCAGAATGAACTAAGTAGCTGACAATGGTGCAACGTAACTGCATATGGCTCCTCCACCTTTTTTCAACTGGAAGGTCTCGGCACCTGTTAGTTTAGGCAAACACAAACAAGCACCTTTTTAAAGGTTCAGATTGAAGAACATTTAATGTTGCATTTAACAGTTACAATGCAAAATGATGCAGTACTGCCATGCTTTATTTCTGTACAATCACGTTTAATAGAGCTGAAGTCAGGACTTTATAACTATAGCCAAACCAGGCCACAAAAATGTACTTTTAACAGATTTTTCCCTCTAATATAATTAATTATTCTAAGTAACGTGATTAGTTATGTAATTAGTTGTTTTCTTCTTTTATATATCAGCTGTATTTTTAAGAGTTACTGTACATGGTTAGGAGTTCATTTTATTTGTATTCATCTCTAGGTATATGTGTGTGTATATACCTTTAAGTCCTAGGGTATTTAAAAATAACAGAGTAATAAATTGTTGGTATTTCAAGTGCATTTTTTCCTGGTAATTAATTCTCAAAGACTTTTGTATTTTCTCTATTTTCACAAGAGTGGATGTCCCAGCAGATTCGCTCCAAAATATGACTCCCAGAAAGTGCAAACAACCCAAAAGGTACCTCGTGTCTGTGAAGGTTCTCAGTCATCCAGGTCATTG